CCCCCACTGCACCCGGCACCCACCCAGGGTGCAGAGACACCCTTAGGGGACCCCCGCCACCCCCTTGGCCTGGGTTTGAAGCCCCCTGGGTGGGCTCTGTCCCTTGTCACCATCCCTGGTTTTGCAACAGGGAACAGCACCCCATCCCCGTGTCCCCCTGCTTGTCGGGGACCCTGCAATGGGGCCGGTGTCAGGCGGGGTGAGCCCGGCAGCCCCAACCGCAGGAATGTGGGTGCTAATCCAAGCCAGCCGCAGGCTCCCCGGGGACCGCCGGCACTCCGGCCGACTCCGGCCATCCCGTAAAAGCCATGAATCAGCTGGGGCTTCTCCGCACCAAAAATAACAGGGACGGGGCGGGGAACACGGCGGGAGCACCCGGGAGCATCCCAAGGGATGGGGTTTGCCAGCTCCCGGCACGCTCCCCCGGGCCCCAAGAGTCCCTGCCTGGGGATGAATCTGGCCTCGGTCCTGGCCCTGGAGGGGACGAGGCTCTGGGGGATCTCCCCCTTGTTGAGGGGGTCCTGGGGTGAGGGGCCACAGCAGCCCCAGGGGATGGGGACATGGAGGACTCAGGGAGGTGGGGGCCGGCAGGCTGTGCCTCCGCAGAGCTCATAGCCGGGTTGCTCGGGGCTCTTGGTGATAGCAGGGACCTGTCCGCATGCCTGTCCCGTACCCATTCCATCCTGGTCTCCATTCCCCTCCCCATCCCATCGCTACCCCCACCCCATCCCCATCCCTATCCTCACCCCTTCCCACCTCCAGCTCCATCCCATCCCCATCCCCATCCTCACCCCATCCCATCTCCAGCTCCATCCTCATCCCACCATCCTCCCCATTCCAATGCAATCCCACTCCCTGTCCTTGCCCCCACCTCATCCCACCTCCATCCTATACCATCCCCACCCCTGTCCCAGCCCCATCACAGGTCGGCCCTGCAGACAGGGTGCCCGTCCATGTGTCCTGCCTGCGGTCTGTCCCCGTGCTGCCCAACCTCCGCAGTGCCCCATCCCAGGGACCAGGCTGGGGCAACTGGGGACCCCACTGCTCCGAACTGCCCGGGGGCCAGAGCCCCCCATGGGGCTGTGCTGTGCTGGGGGTGCCTGAACCCCCACCCCTGTGCCGGGCTTGCTGCCATTTCGGTGCGGAGCTGGGGCTGCCACTCCACGGCATGGCTGCGTGGCCTCGAGCACGTCCCCTGCCGTGCCTCAGTTTCCCCTTGGCTGGGGAGGGGGCGAAGGCCAGGGCTTGGCAGCACCGGGCTCCTCGTGCTGCATCCTGCCCGGGCAGCGCCGGCACCGTGTGCGTCAGGCCGTGAGTCACCAGCAAGGGCACGGGCAAGCCCAGCCGGTGGGATCGGTGCTGGGCTCGGTGCCGGGCTGGGATACATGGGGAGCACACCCAGGGGACTGTCCCCTCCCGGTGCCAATGACTCCAACCAACGTGGCCCCTGGGCATTTTCCGAGGCTGGACAGGCTGCGGAGCAGGATCAGACCCGCCACAGCCACCATGAGCTGGCAAGGCCATCGTGGTGGAGGGGAACCCCTGCCCTTGCACGTCCCGTTAGCATCCCCACTGTCACAGGGCACACAATGTCCCACAGTGGCATCTGGTCCAGAGCAATGGCGAGGGGGACCCCCCCAGCCCGGGGGCAGTGGTACCCAGCTGGGGGACAGGATGGGCAGTGGGGGGGGTGTGCTGAGGACCCTGCCCCTGTCCTGGGGTGCCCAGCAGCTTGTTGGGGTCACCAAGCCTTCAGGTACATGGGGTGTCCCATGCTGGGGGTGGCTGTCCTGGGCAAGGCACAGTCCTGGCACCGTGGGACCCCTGGCAGCGGGAGCAGCAGCTCCAGGGGGTCCCCAACCCCTGGGTCCAGCCTGTCCATATCACGGTGAGAGCCGGGCTCGGGGGTGACAATCCTGGCCCTGGGCAATTTGTCACCGTCTCCATCCCCGGTGTGCCCACAGGGGACGAGCCATCGAGGCGCAGGGAGGTTGTGGCCACGGTCGGAGCCTGGGTACCTACCAGCACCCTCCGGGGGGAGCAGAGCTGCCGTGGGGCACAGCTGCCTGCCACGGGCAGGGGACCGTCTGCCCAGGTCCTGGTGGCCCCGTCACCCCCCTTCCCAAGCTGCAGCGGGTCCCTGAGGGATGGAGACCCCTGGGGTGCTCCCAGCCCTGGGGCAGGGGGGGCTTCTGTGCTGGGTGCAGGGGGCTGCTGGGGAGCTCGAGTGGGTGGCACTGCCCAGCACCCCCAGCACCGGCCCCCAACCCGCTGCCGGACCCCACAGCTCCTCTGCTGGCTTTGGGGACACCGGGCCAGCCTGGGTGTGCATGTCCCCGGGGTGCGTGTGCCAGGCGAGTGCTTGCACGAGTACGTGTGGATCTGTGTGTATGCGTGGACCTAGATGTGTGCGTGTGCACAGAAAAGTGTGTGCCCAGTGTGTGTGCCCCGCTATGCGTGTATCCAGGTGTGCACATGCCCAGGTGTGTGTGCATGTGCCCAGGGGTGTGTGTGTGTGCTCAGGTGTGTACATGGCCAGGTCTGTATGTGCCCAGGTGTGTGTGTGCCCATGCCCAAGTGTGCACAGGGGCAGACCTGCGTGTGCCCAGGCATGTGTCTGCCCAGGTGTGTTTGTGCCAGATGTGCATGGGCCTGGGGGGGTACCCAGATGTGTGGGCATCCAGATCTGCGTGGACCCAGGTGCATGTGCTCAGGGGGGGTGTTGCACACTCCGGACACCTGTGTGCACACTTGCGTGTGTTCCACCCTGGGTGTGCACTGCTCACCTGCTCCGACAGTGCCGCCTTGGGTGACCTCGGTGATGGGACCCCCCCCTCCCTCCACGACCCCCCTGCCCCAGGGTGTGCGTGCACCCAGTGGTACCTGCAAGGAGCGTGGGTGCGACACGCGGCCCTGCTCAGGCAGGAGCACACGTGCAGCCCTGGGGGTGTACGTGTGTGTGCACGGTCGCACGCACGCCTGCCCCGACACCCTGCCTGCGTGTGCACACGGGTGTGCGTGCCCATACCTGCAGCCTGTGCCCAAGCACCCCCGCAAGGAGGTGGGGGGGGGTGTGCACCCCACAAAGCCCTGCACACCCACCCGCACCCAGCCCGTGGGGTGCTGGGTCTGGGTGCTGCGGGTGCCCCAGCCTGGGGCAGGAGGTCCCCGGCCTCTCTCGCCCCATTGAATGTCCCCCCCCAGCTTGGGCAATCTGGGGCAGATTGGGATGAAAAAGGGGCAGTTCAGGAGGGACACGGGGTGTGGGGGGGGGGCACCCCCCGCTCCCCGGGGAGCAGCCGGCCCGGCGGGTGCGTGTGCTTGTGTGCACGGCGCTGGGGTGTGA